TGGAACAATGGTGTTCTGCTTAATAAAGATCTTCAATAGGTATAATTTTGCAGTATCCAAAAATCTATCTAGAGTGCATATATGTGATATATCTTTACCTTCCGTGACTATTAATAAATGCTTATTAGAGATTTATTGGATGAATTGAACAATATTAATATGAAACTATACAGATATAATTTATTCTTTCTTGATTATTCCAAACAATTCCTTGAGGTAAAACTGTAGTTACATATTAGTTAAAAGATTATCATTTGCCCAGATGCAGAGAAGGACCAGTGAAGAGCACAGAGGTCCAGACCAGGCTGGTGAAACATACAGAAACAGCTGACCTGAACATCGGGAACTCTTGCTCCCCAGTCTGATAGCTGGAATACCAGCATGGGACTGATCCAGACCCCAGGAACATGGGTTTCTGTGAGGAAATCTCAGAAATCTATGGGACCTCCTGTAGAAGCCCAGTATTTATCCCTAGCATAGGTGTGGACTTTGGGAGCCTATTCCATATAGTGGAATACTCCCTGAGCCAAGACACACAGGGGTGGGCCTAGGCCCTTCCCAAAAGATACGAAAGACTCTGATGACACCCTATGGAAGGCCTCACCATCCAGGGGAAGCAGAAAAGATATGTGACAGATAAGGTTTTAGTTGGGGGGGGGTTAGGGGAGGTCGGGTGGGAAAAGGGAACTGGGATTGTCATGTAAAACAATCCTGTTTCTAATTCAAATAAAAAAAGTTGGGAAAAAAAAAGAAAAAGAAAAATATAGTTTCAAATTAATTAAATGAAAAAAAAGATTACCATTTGCTTAAATGACTGGTTATTTATTTCACTTTCTTGTGTCCATTTGGATATTCATTGGTGAAAGTGAGTTTTATGTCTTGGGTTACAGTGTTCCTACCCCTCCCCCATTTCTGTTGTTTTCTCATTGAGTTATTATATATGACTTCATTTATCTTAATTAAATTACTTTTGTCACTCAGTTAATACTAATACACTTTGATTTGATTTCTCCAGCTATAAAAAAAAGCCTGCTTTATTTCATGCCATTATTTTCTGTTCTTCAATTTAATTGTGTGTGTGTGTGTGTGTGTGTGTGTGTGTGTGTGTGTGTGTGTGAGTAAACATTCAATAAATGCATTTTGGTTGTGGTTATCTTGTGTTATATTTCTTTACTAATAGGTCATTCCATTTTCCCTTTAATTTGATATGGAAATAAGTAGGGAAAGAAGAAATAAATTGTAGTGTAATCCTACTTTACAAATGGAAGCTATTTCCACAGTCTTAAAACTGTATATTATCTCTGCTTGACTTCAGAATGCTTTGAAAGTGCAATTAAGAAAAAGTTCTATTGGGGAAAATCACCGAAGGCAAAAAACAAAGAAGGAAATGGCACAGTTCACATTGAAAGAGTTCTTAGCTACTTTTCATCAGGCTGCTAATATTTTCCATTTTATGAGTCTTTTCTAGACAGATAGTCATGCATTTGTTACTAAACTACCATTATATCAAAACTGCTTCCTGAAATCAATATTTGTACAGCAAAATATTTGAACTAACTAAAACGATTTTTTTCTATATAGAGGAACAAGAGTGTTGCTTGTAGAAGAAACATTTCTCATCTTGTAGTCACATTTCCATCCGTTGTTTTCTCTGTGAGGGATTCCCAACCACATTTATTTCCATCATGAGAAGATGACATTTATAGGAAACCAACATATAGTCTCAGCTGTTAGTAAATCAGCAGGAAGAACAGGACTGAGATGTTGAAACCCAGTGAGGACAGACACCATTTTGTCGGCTATCTTCTGGACTATTCATGTTTAATTACAGTAGTGGCACTTGACATTATAAAATGTTCCTTTATTTTAAATATAACCTTTTATCATCATTAGTAAATGTCAAATGTAATGAAGTATTTTCCTGCCTTCCTCTTCCCAGTAAAATAGTAAGGAAATGTTATTAAGCTTGCAATCCTGAAATTCTTTTCAATACCAAAGCCAGCAGGGTGTCAGCGTGGTGTGAGAGTATTAGACTAGGTTTAATGTTTATATTATTCTCCTTTTGGGAGGAATTTTCCTATTTGTGCTTCTTCCTACACTTGCCTTCTCTGGTACAATTTCTTGTTTTGCCTGAGTGCTTTAGTGACAAATAATTCCAATTGGATTGTGTTTCTGGGTTCAGTCAGAAAGATGTTGGAGATCTGACCCCTTGATGTGACGACTTCTATCCGAAAGCATAGTCTTTCTTCTTCTTTTTTTCTTTAGTTACTTATCTGTCTATCCCTCCCCTAAACTTAGATATGTAATGGTTACTCAACCCTGTGGTTTCCAGCAGCTTCCTGTAACATTTCAATTACAGTATAGTGGAATCATGATTTTTGCTATCTCAACGATTAAAAAGAAAATCCTACAGTGTGAAACTGATATATTCTATGACAATACCTCTTTACCAAACAATAAAATTAACATCCTGTGAGAAGGGAACACTATCACCAAAAAAGGTCAGAGAGATAAAGCCACAGTTTCCTAAGACATTTACGAGCAGGCTGTGTTGAAAACAGGCTTGACGGTGGTCTGGTCACCTTTCTCAGTATCTCCAGTCTGTTTTCAGGCTTCCTTTATGACAAAATGAGAGAAAAGCTGTGTGCTGTGCAGAGAATAGAGGTGGCATGGCATCATCAGCATGTGCCCCTGGTATTCCGTGTATGCCAAGAAAGAAAAGCAAGCTGCTCAAAGCTACCTGACCATGGATGGGGCTGGGATATGCTGCATAGTATATTCTGAAAAATGTGAAGTCAGAAAGAACGTGGGGAAGGTTTTAAATGATCTAATCTAACTAGTAGCAAGGGACTCTGCTCCCCAGAGAAACAAAGCATCCTACCATGTCTTTGACTATCCCATGCTCTTGTAAGAATGCTTGTCAGGAATTTAGCTCTGGCATTCTTTGTGTGTTCTCTTCTTAGTTTCCTTAGTTTCATGGCTACATATACTGTTAACTAAATTAAGTTCATGACTTCCTGAGAACACACAAAAAGACTCAACATTAGCTTCTCTCTGCCCAGTTAGTTTCTATATTTGTTCCAATTATATGCAGTTGATATCCCAGGCATCTACATTATCATAATATTTATAAAACATTAAGCAAATCATAACAAAATATTCAAGTAATTGCTAGGAAACCCTTACTTATTATACTAGAATGTCACTAAGAAGCTTTTATTTCTGTTATTATGGTTAGAATATGACTTCTTACTAATTAGTCAGTTACAATTTGCATATACAGTTTTCCTAATAATTTTAATACTACTTTTCCTATTAAAGATAGGAATTGTTTTCTTTGGCATAATACAAACTCACTTTCTATTATGCTTTCATTTTCTGTTGCTTTCTTTCACTGGAAGTGCATTCTAAAAGCTTCCTCACAAGCTTTCCTTAATTGCTGTGCATTTGAAAACTAATCTGTTTCATCCAAACTTAAATTCTCATTTTCTCTGATAAAACCTTATCCAGAGAAGGATGTGTTCCTGTTGGCTTTTCAAAGTCACACTCTTGGCTAAGTCGGTTCTAGTGCCACTCAGACTCATTCACCTAGCCTGGCCTCCTCTGATCACTCTCCTCTGAACCTGTAGTGGCAGACAAATATGGCAAACAAGATATCAAGGAACTGTGAGCAATCTTATGTTCCTCTCTACTGCATTGCTGGATGTCAGGATCCAACTGGGATGATGTCTACGGGTGGAATTCAAAATCCAACATGGGCTCCATGGGATCTCGATGTGATTTTGATGGTATAGGAAGCTGTTTTTGCATCACCCAACAAGTTAGCTCTCCCTCTGAAGCCTACTAGGTCTTAGAAGGATCTGGGGTACACTCTGTTTATAGGCATCTTAGGCATGAGTGAGGAAGAGGGTCCAGGCTAAGTTAGAAAGAAGGTAACTTTTGTTCAAAACATCAAGCTCCTATAGAGTTTATGCAAAGAGAAGCTAAGTATCATCTGCAAAGACTGTGGGAAAGGGGAAAACCTATTAGAAATGATGCTTGTAATCCTGAGAGAAGAGAGGAGGAGCCATAGTGTGAACCAAGGAACTGTTCTTCCTGTACAGTGTCTGTGATGGGTAGCAGACTCCTTTAGAGTATTTGCCTGCTCAGAGTTCTGATTTCACTGCCACATGCCGTGACCTTTGCAGACATTACTACTTCCTTCATTTGTAAGTTGATGTCTATCTACAATCTTAAGTTAGCCCTAACATCACAAAAAAAAAAAAAAATGAAACCTTGTGCTTGTCATTTATTAGTGACTGTTTGTCCTGTACTTTTTGAGAAGCCCTGGAACCCCAGTGCACTTGCTTAGCTTTAGAAGGGTTCGATTTACAAAGGTTCAGATACTTGTCTCTGACCCTCAACCATGTGATAGAGGTGCAGGAACTCAAGTTCACATTTGTTCATCTAGCTCAGACATTAAAGAAAGTGCTTTATTGTCATCTCACAGATGATTAAGCTGACATTGTACTGTAACCTCCTTAAAAGTAGGAACATGTTCCTTTTGTTCTCACACCAGCTGATATTCATGGACAGACAATTCATAAAGGCATTGTGTTGGAGCCGAGGTATCCCTCTGGTTTTAAACTATGTTGAGTCACCAATTTCAGATTGATGTAATCTTTTTCTTTCTATAGTTGTATGCTGGTTGGTGGGGAGTAAACTTTGATATTCATACAAAAAAAGAAGAAAACATGAAGGAAAGAATAGAGGGAGAAAAGGAGGGACAGGGAGGGATGGAGGGAGTGAGGGAGAAAGGGAGAGCAGGAGGGAGGGATTTCTTAGAGTACTGCAGAAATGACTTGTGAGTATCAATAGGAAAAGCAAAACTAAGGGAAAAACAGCTGTGCATTATACACACAGCATTTTAGGTGCTATTGTGATTGCTCTGAAAATTATTAATCACTTCCCCAAAGTGTCTTGCTTTGTTTATGAGACAGTATCTCTGTTTTGTTTATTAGGACACAGCAGGCCAGGAGAGATACAGGACCATCACCACAGCCTATTATCGAGGGGCCATGGGCTTCATTTTAATGTATGACATCACAAATGAAGAGTCCTTCAATGCAGTACAAGATTGGTAAGTTACTGCCATTATAAGTGGTGATAGTTTTCCATTTGATAATCTATTCCTCCCACAGCAGTGGTCATGGGGCAATGTCTATGTATGTTTATCACAAACTACAATCCCACTTGTGTACTGAGGCAAAGAAAAGTTGGTTATGCTCACAACCATTGTCAGGAGATTAGCAAGAAGTCATTTGGGTGACTTTTCTTCATTTTGTTCCCTTCAGTGTTTTGCATCCAGAATCTTCCTTCTATAGAATTGAGTATATTGCTATAATGTAAATGATGACTTGGAAGTTTATTTATCTAATGTAGGGATCTAGAGAGTAACACTGGTGGGCCTTGACCCACAACTTGTTCTTTAAATAAAACTTTATTGGAACACATCCAGGCTCATTTGTCTATTATCTGTTATGCTTCACACCACAAAAGACAAGGTAAGTAGCTACAGCAGGATCCATGTGGCCCATAGAGGCCAAAACATTTCTCCCTGGACATTTGGAAGAAACTTTTGTTTATTCCATTTCTAGTAGATTTGTTAAATAGATTATTCAAACTAGAGCATTTGAAAGGACCTAGGACAAAAGCAGGGTCACACCTGGATCCTTTGTGACTCTTAGCTCTACCAAACTCTGTGAAAATACTTGTATCCATAATGAGTGTGGTGGCATGAACTAGGAGGATTTAGTTTCTGATAAAAAAAAAAAACCAACATGTCCCCAAAGGACCATTCAGTTAACAGTTATGTGTGTGGTATCTGGCTAATTGCCATTCCCAGCTGCAGTCATTTCAATACTCACTGCTCTGCTAGAAATGCTGAGACCTGTGCAAGGATGCAGAAAGTCTTCTCATTGAAGTTTTCATACATCAGCATTCTGATGCTGTTTTATACAGATCCTCTTGCCCCATTGTTTCAAAGAGTTATTTCACCACCAAGAGAACGTACAGTGATGCACCGGGCTTATTAAAAAGAAATGCCGGTAACATCAGGAGCCCCCACAGTCAACATTGCTGATTCTACTATCAAGGTGATAGAGGAATGATCAACATCTGCCTCTCTGAGCATCCCTCTGTGGTCCAGTGAGTTAGACGTCACCACACTAATGTTTATACTTCCTCATGTGTCAGCAAACTCACATTACCTCAGTCTTCCTCTACCTCCAATTGTCTAGACAACTCTAGTGTCCTGTCCCTATCCCTCTGAGGTTCCATTCCTGTTTCTGAAAGACACATTTTGCAAATCACTCTTCTTTCTCTGATCCTTCTTCCTACTCCTCCCGGGCACCAGTGATATTTTTCTGTGCCCTGTCCTTGATCATTTTTTTCACTTCCCTAGTTTCATTCATCAGTTAGATGTCTGACTGTGGTTTGTAAACTGCTCTTGCATTTCCAGGTATTCAGAATATTTATTCTACCTGGATCCTTTCCTAGTGCCTTGAAGTCATTTATCTTCACCTGAATCTGCTCACCTTCCTTCCTGACATAATTCCTGACTTTCACTATCTGGATCTGGGCGAGCTCATGCATATTCACATATTTAACATGAGAGTCCTATGACATGTGTCCTGCCTTTCCCCTCCTTCTGTGGCCATCCTCTTTTAGTTTCTTAGTGCTGTATTTTGCTCATACCCTCATTGGAAACTTCAGATTTTCTTGATCTAAATTTCTTTGTTTCTTAATACATCCTACCCCCTTGGGTCCTTTCAGGTTCTTCTAAAGAACATGATTTTGAAGTTTCTGAAACACTCCTGTCCAAATGCCACAGCTCACTATTGCCTCCTGAGTTGGAACTTTCTTGGCTTGGCTTCAGACACACTACCTCATGATGATGCTGTAACTCTGTAACATTATTTTTCTGTATTGTAGAGAAAAACAGAAAGTACTTTTTCTGAAACTTCCCCTAAACATTCCAAACTTTCAGCATTTTTTTGCTATGCCTCTTTTGGATTTGTATATATTTTTCATAGCTCCCTGTTCCATCTGTCTGCAGGCATCTAGATTTCTCCAAAAGTGAAGAATAAGAAAGTCCATCCTTGAAGAGCACTACTATTTACTCATTTTTCTTACCCCCACAGTTACATAGCTACTCATTCATTGGGAATTCAATTTTGTTTTTAGTATTCATTCAGCTGACAGTTACTGAGTGTCTATCCTGAGAGCTGAAGGCCAGACTTGCCTATGCCATCATTTTCTGTCTTAGTGGATCATCCATAAACCAGTTATATGACTAAGGTCTAACATCTTGGTATTTTGATTATCATAGCACAAGCCCCTATAATTCTGACTTCCTGAATTCTTCTCAAATACATTCCTCTCCTTTCTCTCTATTGTCATTGATGTAATCCAAACTGTCATTTAGGGACTTTCTATCTTGTCTCCATCTCTCTTGTTATAAAATACTTTCAGTAGTTTCTCATGCCCTGTGGTAATGATTCTGGAAGCACAGGTAAATCACTGTGAAGCTTTGATAGGTATTAATCCAGGCTCCATGTTGGACCCACTAAACCAGATCTCTCATGAGAAATATGAATATAGCTGTTTTCAAATTTCCACAAGTGACTCTAAAGTCCACTTGTCACTAAGACCATTGGTTTGCAATGAAATCCAAAGTCACCCTCCTGACACCATCTCCTAATGCTCTTCTCCATGTATTCTATGCTTCCGCTGGGGCAGATCTTTCATCATTTATCAAAGTTTGATCCTTCTTCTATATCTGCTCTTCTGCCTAGAGAATCTTCTCTCATGACAGCCTGAGTTTTTTTAAGAACCTTCCAAGCCAAACCCAAATGCCAACTCTTCTCCACAGCTTTCTAGTACATCTCTACCTTCCTGCTACCCCATCTCTGCTCACAGAGGCCAGTGTCACCCTCATCTCTGTAGCTATGTTATATTTTCATTTTCCACAGAACACACAAATAACCTACAAGACAGTTGTCATCTGAGTACACTTTGCCTTGAATATCAGATTGTGAGTTTGTCAATTTTCTCCTGTACTAAATACAGTACAATGCAATAAATTTTCTTACATTTTTCTAACATGTAAATTGTGGCAAAATACATACACCAGCCAGGCAGTGGTGACACATGCCTTTAATCCCAGTACTCAGAAGGCAGAGGTAGGTTGTTCTCTGTGTGTTCAAGGCCTACCTAGTCTACAGAGCAAGTTCTAGAACAGCCAGAGCTACACAGAGAGACCCTGTCTCTAAAAAACAGCAAAAAAATACATATACAAAAATAGTCATCTTAATTCTTCTGCAGTGAACAGTTGCAGTTCAGTTGCATTAAATGCATTAATCTTGCTGTGCAGCTATTCCTGCTCTCCATCTCCAAAACTCACCTCATGTTGCCAAGCTAATACTTATCTCCCCATACTTTCAGTTTCCCACAGCTCTTAAAAAACATATTCGGCTTCCCAATGTTGTAATTGTGACTTTAAATTTTCTGATAAAATTTTATTGATGATTTATTAATGTGATCACTTTAATTTTGTCAGAGTGTCTAGTTTTGTAAAAATTAACACAAAGGAAATTCATTTTGAGCATAAATATAAAATTGCCTAGTGTTTACAAAGTTTCAAAAATGGCGTGATAAACTAAACACAAGGTATGTACACAGTGGAGTTAATAAGACAGTGACTGATTCTAAAGAATGGGGAGAGGATAATTGTTAAAATTCACCCTATAGACCAGGAAGAAGGGCTTGTGTGGTAATACTTTATTAGTGTGGGAGAAGTAGAATTCAGAAAAAGAAATGAGTCACATTGCAAGAGCAAAGACTTTTTGGTGAATATGTGTATAATACAGTCAAAATATAGACAGGTTCATGGATCCGTTGCTCAAACCTGCAGTTTGCTAAGTTGTAGAGGCAAACACAACAATAGAGTGGCACTATAGTATTGGGAGAAATGAGACTATCAGTTTTTAAAGAAAGTATTCTACTTCTATTCTTTCACTAAAATTTTAGTTAAGAAATAAACTAACAAGTGATATTCTAGATAAAAGGGTCTCCAGTAGGTTAAATAATTACAGGAAAATAAGGTTCCCATTAAAACTGATCCATCACCCTTGGGATAGTTTTTCAGATGGTTTGTGTTCAGAGCATCTTTTGGATCTCAGGTGGGTCTCGTCCCCAAGACTGTAAATGAGAGCTCCACATCCTTACAAAAGTCTAGCTCTGTGACTCGCTGCACCTACATACATCACTGAGCATTTTAATTTGACTTAGAAATCTGCCGAATCTGTGACTTTACAACTTTTTGTTCGAAGTGTGACATGGACCACAGTCTGTGGTATTTTTTCTTAGAGAATGTCTTTGGCTTGTAACTCCCACCCTCATCTTATTTATTTACATTCTTCATTTTGTGACACAGTGCAGAACTATAAATATAAAAAGGGTTCTTTTTCAGGCAGGAAATCTGGAGAGCAGATTGATTGTTCAGCACCAGACTGGGGATAAAAGTCTAACACCATCCTCCCACCAGTTTTAAATAATTCTTCCTGTGACATTCGGTTACCCTGCAGATGTACTAGAACTAGAATGGAATGTCACCTTCACACATTCTCTTCCTCTAAAGTTTTCTCTTTTCCTTCACCTTCCAAACATATCTCACAGTCAATCTTTGTTTTTATTTTTGTTATTATTTTGGTTTTTTGCTTTTGTTTTTTGAGACAGGATTTCTTTGTGTAACAGCTCTGGCTGTCCTGGAACTTGCTCTTTTCAACTTTTAAATCATTTCTGCAACAGATTAGAAGGGACAGTGGCAGGACTAGGGCAAAATGTCTGACCTTCAACATTCTCCACAGCACCACATTGGACCTCAAGCTGCTTATTCTTTCTCCATGAACAACAATGGCTATGATGGCTACCGTTTTTTTATTGTTGATCCGACTCATCTGTAAAACATTTTCCTTATGTATAAAACCCCACTTAAACTCAAGGTGCACTTAGAAGATAAATGTCTGCCTAATCAATTCATGGCCCTTTTCAGATCAAACAGCAACAAAACCCAAATAT